ACGTCGGCAGAAACGTCTTGTAATGAAAATGTTCTTCAAGAGAAAAGAGACGCCGAGGGAGCTGGCCGAGAGGGGTTGACCTTCGTGTCGCAACTCGCATGCGTCTGCTGTAAAATCCGTAAAAAATCTCTTAAAGAGTCTGAAAAATAACCCTTTTTTGCCTTTTTGTTCTTATTTTTCTCAGTGATTTTTGTCTCTTTACCTTTTCCCATATAGGTCTGTGACAGGCTGCCCCCCTCTTTTCTTTGTCCCAGTATATGAAGTAGCCACAGTGTGGTAACCTTTGAGCACCTGGCGCGATGGCCTTAGCGAGTGACCCTGACCTCGCTTACTGTGCAGCGTCTCCTAGTGCTTGTTTTATGCTGACATCACTACCCAAATTTAAGCACAAACCTAAATAGGATATTCTCAATGACAGCATTAACTTTGCTGAATGAAAATCCTAAGGATTAAAAATGACAGACGTCGGATCTCGAACAGCTGTCACGCCGCTGTCGTTGGCATGATGTCATTATGCAGTGATGTTGACATTTGACGGCCCAGACGAGAGACACTGCAGGTCACAGCCTGGTTCAGACGACCATGCGGCAGGGCACGTGGCAGAGTGCAGGATTATCAGACGGGATACGAAAGTTATCCTTGTATATATGGACAGAGAAAACAACCCCCTCCGAACACTTTTATATGGAAAATAAAAACTATCCTCCCAATATCAATGAAGTCACTCATTTAATGTAAGTATATACATATATATATGTATATATATATATATATATGGTTAGATAACTCATCTAAATCGGGTTACATTGGCGAAAGAATTCTTCCAACATTAACAAAGGCACGCGTCGACCCGTGATATTCTAGCGGAGGCAGCACCAACAGCTGACACAGTGGGGTCAATGCGCCACAAAACCTCCAGCTTGTGACCTCGGAAAGCCCTGTTAGAAGGAGTTCACGTGATCACCGAGCTGAGGAGGAGGAGATAGTAGGCAATTTCACCCTGACTGTAATGCCTGTTACATAAGAGAGACAACCTTCCCCATGCCTTTCGTGTAAGAATATAACGTGGCTTCTTCTCCGAGCACGTCCGTAGCTTGAACTCAGGTCATCTGGAGCCCTTGCGGGGAGGCTCACCGTTAACCTCCCTTGAACACTGTTTTAGCTAAAGTTTAGTGACGAGACGTGTGTAGACCTCAATACATTACAGCTGTGACATAATAATGTATAAATCAGAAGAGAAATAACAACTGTCATTGGTTCTTGCCCATGTAACGTACACAGCCTCGCCTTCTTCTGGTGTGTGTGTGTGTATGGAAAAACCCATATTTTAATTCCTTGCGAGTATTTTTTTTTTCCGCCTTTGCTGGTTTATTTTTTCTTGGTGGTGTGTTACGTCACTCCCCCGCTCTATCCGATGTCAGCAGATGATTTGGTCTTGAATGAGATTTACCAAATAGCATAATAACGATTAAAGATAATGATGAGGAATTCTTTGGCTTTTTTTTTTTTGTTTTGTTTCTCAAAAAAATAAGTGATGACGTTGTGATTTTTATGTTTTGCTAAAAGAAAATAATGAGTAATATGTACACTAGGAAAATATTTGTTTTTGATTTTATTGTATTCTTTTTTTTTATTTTCATTTCTTTTCCGAGGAATAAAAGGAAACAGTTTCTTGAAATTAGGTTAAATCACATTTATAATTTGAACATAGTGTAATAACGAGACTTTGTAAGTAACGTGAAGAACTTGCTATATATAGTACTTTAAGGAGAAAAGAACGTAATACAAGAATAAGGAAGAAAATTTTGATTGTCTTAAAGGACGTTATCTGAACATTCCAAACACAAACGGTGTCGACGCCATATTGGTAGAGACGCTGTCAAAATTTTCAGTCAAATTCAAAAAGCATCGCTGCTAACAGTATTCATGTATCAACTAACGCTGTCAGCAAAAAATAAATTAAAAAAAAACAAACAAAAAAAAAACAGTAATTAAATTTTGTCAACCAAATTTGAGCAGAGTTTGTGTTCAGCTTGAAAGGGTTAGTCTTCACCTTGCCTTTGACAAAAATAAAGTGTTAAAACGGTCTCCTTCTGAGTCACTGTGACTTCTCTGATGTCACAACAATTTAATAATATTATGCTTAGCTAGACACTAAAATCATCTTAATATGTAGGTGAGTGGCTGTTCTGCACACTGGTTAAGGATGTAAGTCTTTGTTTCAACAGAAGCCGCATGGTGAAGAATTCAAATTAGAAACTCCAATTGCTATTTAATTGGAGTATTTAATGCACTCCGTGACCCTTGTGCCGCACAGCCACAGCTGGTGTAAATAATAGAAAGTGAGGGGAGGTTGGACCAGCTCCCAACCTCAGTGGGGCGGCCACGGCAGGAGACCAGCCGCAGGGTTATGATGGAGGCACCGTCTGCAGGGAGATGCTTGCAGTCGAGTGTGAGAGACCTTTTGGCGTTAACTGTTGTTCTCTGGTTGTGGATCTGT